GAAGCTAGTTTAACACATCACAGGGATAAAGCTAGTTTAACACATCACAGGGATGAAGCTAGTTTAACACATCACATGGACGATGCTAGTTTAACACATCACAGGGATAAAGCTAGTTTAACACATCACAGGGATGAAGCTAATTTAACACATCACAGGGATAAAGCTAGTTTAACACATCACAGGGATGAAGCTAGTTTAATACATCACGGGATGAAGCTAATTTAATACATCATAAGAATGAAGCTAATTTAACACAACACAGGGATAAAGCTAGTTTAACACATCACAGGGATGAAGCTAATTTAACACATCACAGGGATGAAGCTAATTTAACACATCACAGGGATAATGCTAGTTTAACACATCACAGGGATGAAGTTAACTTAACACATCACATGGACGATGCTAGTTTATCACATCACAGCAAAGAAATTTCTTACCTCTGCTTTAGAGTAGATCAACAACCTTAGTAGTAGAAGCGAACAGAATTGCCATGTGATACTTGTGCTCATTTCTTCGTTAAACCTAAAACAAGATTTAAATTTATTGTTTAAAAAATTAACAATATAAAACAATTTAAGTAGTAGTTGTGATTTAGTTAGTTTGTTTTAATGCATTTAACTGACTGAATCTCTGACGATCTAGCCTATCCTCTCCACCCTTTTAACAAAAGCTGTATTCGGTACTTACTACTGAACACATTAATACACCCAAACCGATCGGAGTGATTAAAAATATTTAAGAATGATAACTACACACGATTAACCACAACGTCTGCATTTGAAACGAATCTATGCTATCGTTTTACATTTTATATTATATTTGCATTTTCAACCTGAACGACGCCTTGTGCGACACATGGACTGAACGGCTAGATCAAAAACCTCTAGGGCTCAGATATAGCTGTCACTACTCGAGTGTTATCTGCACCAACCGTCCCTAATTTAGAAGTGATAATCCAGAGGGAAGACAGCCGATCAACACCACTCACCGGTAAATCTTGAACTACTCTTTCATCAACGAAAAGTGGGATTGACCACCACTTTATAACGCCTTCACGGCTGAAAGGGCAAGCGGTGATTGGATTTGAACTCGAGACCCGCAGATTACGAGTTATGTGCCCTAACCACCAGGTCATCCCAGGCACACTAATTTTGAACTAACGATCAGAAAGCATCCAGATAGCAACAAGAAGTAAGGCAACTAGTCATTACCACCCACCGCCAACTCTTGGGCTACTCTTTTACCAACGACTAGTGGCATTGACCAACACATTATAACGCTCCTACAGATGAAAGGGCGAGCATGTTTGGTGAGATTGCAAATCGAGCGTCCTAACCACCTGGCCATTCCGAGCCTGATTATTTTGAAGTAGTGTTAGTGTGTAGTTGATTCAAGTTCTGATTAGACTGACGGATTAGACAGAAAGGGAGTTGTTCACATCTGTATCTTGTTACTTTTACTTAGGAATACGACCCTCTGTTATAAATTGACAAAGTAACAAACCTGTTGACTGTGAACATAACAATGATAAACTATGGAGTAAAGTAAAATTAGGTTTAACAATATAATACAACTGTTTTGATTACTGCTATTGATGAAAGTTATTGGAAATCACCCATTTTTCTATACTTAGGTCTTCCAAATTGTGAGGTGAAAATATATTTTGCGTACAATATTTTCTTTCTCATTTTCTGATTGGTTAACAGTATTTCTGACTAGTTGACAGTATTTATGACTAGTTGACAGTATTTCTGACTGGTTGACAGTATTTCTGACTAGTTGACAGTATTTCTGACTGGTTGACAGTAATGGAAAAGTCGGACTTGATTTTATGTTAGATAAAACCTTCCGAAACAGTCACATGTATGTTATAAGATCAAAATATGGTTGTTGTTTTTCTGTGACATCATCTTTCAGGGAACTGAATACTCCCAGTCAAATTAAAATTATCACCTATTTTTCTGTAAACAATAAAATCATCTATAAATATCTTATAGATTTATAAGTTTCGGAACAATATTTCCTAATAATATTTTTCACCAGTGAAGAGTTAAAAACATGTACTGTCAACTAGTCATAAATACTGTCAACTAGTCATAAATACTGTCAACCAGTCAGAAATACTGTCAACCAGTCAGAAATACTGTCAACTAGTTAGAAATACTGTCAACCAGTCAGAAATACTGTCAACCAGTCAGAAATACTGTCAACCAGTCAGAAATAAAAAAAGAGTGTTTAACGAGTCTTCAAAGATGAATTAATTTTGAGAGTATTTGGCTACGTAGACTGTAAGCCCTTCCTTAAAGTCTAATCCACCCCGACAGTCCATAAAGACGTCAAATCCATTATAGATCATATTCCGTATCTTAAAGAATAATAATAACAGACATAAATCAACTTAGCTCATATGACCTTCGTTATTTATTCATAGGACGACAGACTGCAACGAACCTGACCGATATCTATAGCGTTATATAAAATATAACGACTAATATTTTAAATTAATGAGAAGAAAAGGGCGTGCATGTTATCCGGTAATATTATTACGGCTGCATCAGTATCGGATCTAAAGATTTAGCCTAAAAGCGTGATGTTCTTTCTCGTGGCTTATTTTTTTGTTAAACTAAACTATCTTGCTTATAAAGGAAATCTGTTTAACATCATTTCTTACCACGTTCGTATCACCCAAGTTAATTTAATTTTACTTTTTTTTTGCGGATGGACATCAATATTATTGTTTCAGCAGAAAAGAAATTTGATTTTCTCTATTAATGTGATAGACGTTGCACACATACTGCACATTGCACACATAGTTTTCTCTTTCTCTGATCGTTCTTGAGATCACGTGACCTGAGAGAATCGGGTGCACCCTGGACCTCTTCCTCCCTCCTTAGTTTTAGTTTAGGTTTAGTTCTTGTTTCTTTGTAATTAAGCACGAAGCTACACAGTGGGCTATCATTGCTCCGTCCATCACGGGTATCGAAACCAGGTTTCTAGCGTTGTAAGACCGAAGACATACCGTTGTGCCGCTGAGGGGCGTTTAGTTCTTGAATGTTTTAGATTTAGCTCACATTCTTCTTCTTCTTCGTCATCATCGGGATTCGATTCATGTTTTGGACCGGAGAGGGTCAAGTTCAGTGTACTGCACAATACTAGTTTGTTTTAGAATTTCGCGCAAACGTGCGCAAATGGATATCTATCTGCGTATAGCCGTCCGGGATTTTGAACAGATAGACTATGAGCACCCTGCCGCGCAAATCTTAGGCGACCTCTTGTCTGATCGAATAGCGAATTTTGATCGTGTTTTTCCGACAACGGATTGCGAACTCTCGGATTTACAGTCCTGGCACATTAATCACTAGGCCACTCTAGAACCACAATATTTGTAATCATAATGATAATAACACTAAATAATGTTAACTTAAAATGGGTTAAAGCTATAACTACATTTATATTTAACATTTTATTCAATTGTAGGGGTATCAAAGTTTTCTGTTGCCTTAGAAACAGTGGCGTAGCTATGCCCCTGCAGCTCCCGCAATTGCGGCAAGGGAGGGGGGGGATCCGAATCGTAACTACAAAAAAATTGAGGGAAATAAATGTAGGGGCCCAATTACTTTTTATGCGGAGGGTCGTCTTTTGTAGTTTCTCTTCTACCTTAGGATCAAACATTTTATTTATTACTATAGGTTTTGTTACACTTCTTTAGAAATTTATTGTGAATAGCGCGTATGAAACGACCCCTGTAGGTTATATTTAAAACTTAGAGTCTACTTCACAAGAACGTGTTGACTAACGTCTATTCTCTGAAGATTTAATTATAAAAGTATTAAAAACAGTGTAAATGCAAATAACAATGACGTCATTTACAGCTTAATATTTTTAATCGTGTAAATTTTGTATAAATTCCAACAAAACAATATTTGCTTTTCTGGAAGAAGAAGAAAAACGGCCCGGCATGGCCAGGTGGTTAGGACGCTTGACTCGTAATCTGAGGGTCACGGGTTCGAATCCCCATCCCACCAAACATGCTCGACCTTTCAGCCGTGGGGGCGTTATATCGTGATGGTCAGTCCCACTATTCGTTGGTGAAAAAGTAGCCCAAGAGTTGGCGGTGGGTGGTGATGACTAGCTGCCTTCCTTCTAGTCTTTCACTGATAAATTAGTGACGGCTAGCGCAGATAGCCCTAAAAAAAAATAATGATACCTACATTGAAAGTTTATGGACGTGAAAATAGAAATAGGTTAATTTTGATTAAAAATTATTGTCAAGTTACTGTTTACTAAATACTTCATTGATTTAGTATTATATAAAAACATATCTAATAGCATGAAGTTCAGTTATGTTGACAGGCGAACTTTCCAACATTAGATCCGTTACACACAACATGACAAACGTAATCCACTTGTGTGTTTTTCCAAGTATCGTAAAATCTGGTTCTCCGGACTAGTCCTAAGTATTTAAAACTCAGGCCAGATACTGAACAGATGCAGATACAATTCTGTGTTTCGAGTTAATAATATCTTCCCTTTTCACTTCGTGAGTGTATCGTGTTTTGGTTTTAGTTTGTTGGATAATTTGATGAGTCTGAAAGCTCTAACTTAGTTCTTTTATACTGCCAAAATAAAGAATGCCGTGAAGAAAGGCCTAAGTTTAGATCATTAATGGAAGCTACAAGGCGGAAATCTTTACACTTTGGGATGATGCCAAAATTGTCAACACATCTTAGATAGCATAAGCAGTTTGCACAGATGGTGTCTTATGTTTGACTGAAAGATATGCTACGAACCCATCCGAAGGGCAATTCTGGGTAAAGTTGCTACATATATATATATATATATACACACACACACACTATTTATATATATAACCATTCAAAAAAAGAAATATATAAGAGAGAACAGGAGGTTCTTTATAGTTTCGGGCCGATAGAAGGAGCAGCTACGTTATTCACTTTAAATGGAATATGTCAGTAAGTATTTCTGTGAAAGTTTTGAGCAAAAGATGTTAGTGTTGGCAAGTAAAAATCTTTATTCTAAATCTCTTATTTCACTGGTTTCCTTGTTTACTAACGGTAGTGAGTAGTATAACCTTCAAGTGTTAGCTAAAACTTGATTAAGTTTTCCCATATTAGGCCTGACACTCTTTTCGACTGTTAAACATAAGAGGATGTGATTTACATGCATGTTTGGCACAGAGCCAATAAGTAACAAGCAATACACGTGTGGTGACGTCTGGGACTTTAGGGTCAGGTATTACGGAACACTAGTTGTTTTGTATAGCTTTCCGTAGAATCCTTTCGCACAGGAGTTGTTTATGACACAACGAAATTATGGCATCTCCACTGATGGAAACGTGACCAGGCTATATCAGCCACTTCTTCAGCTGCTTGAGGCAAGACCAAACGAAACCTGGATTTCCTCTAAGGGCGTAAAAATAGACAACAAAAGAATATTTTAAACGTCCTTATATACGAAACAACTCACAGTTATGTGTGATGAGGATCGTATTTTATTTGTTG